CAATTAAAGTATTTCCTTAAATGAGGGGTTGTTATGTTGATTTTGATTTGATTATCAATAAGTGAAAATGTCAAAGACTGCAGAGCTATGTGATTTAAAGATAAAAAAATAAAACTGACTGATTATAATAACGTTTTCTTTATTTTTCTCTCAAAACATGATCCTTATAAGGAAGTTTCGGTTTCGGTTTCGGTTTCGGCCGAAACTGAGACCGTTGCCGAAATTCGGTTTCGGTTGCGGTTTCGGTCGTAAAAACCAGTTTCGGTCGGACACTAATTTGAACTTTTATAAATTTTCAAATTAAAGATTTTCGGATAAACGTTGGAATCGTTCTTGACAGGCATACCAAGACTAAGTTATGCCGTTTCCCGTACAAAAATTCTAGAAATATATGAAACGCCGCCGTTTAAGGTCAGGCCGCTGGGTTAATTTCAGGGGTGGTCCTTGCGAGATATAGAGGGTTAGATGGTGAGTGCAGACTTAGTTTTGCCCCAACTCGCGCGTCGAAACCACCGAGCCCCATTACAACTGCGGTAATAAAAGCGCGAAAGCTTCGCTCACGCAAACTTTCCAACTTTTTATTTGACGTCTTCAAGCGCCCCTTATTGTCTACCAATACCGAGTATTGTTGAATTAAATTTTTTGTTGTTTTTACCATCGGACTCGACTCGAACTGAAAAATGTACAAAACTCGGCTCATTCTTGTGATTGTTTTTTTCGGAATTGTAACCGCTTCGGTGGCACTGAAATGCTGGCAGTGTGGACAGTATAATGATGGGGTTGGCTCCATCACGCCCTGCATCAATCGTTCGCACACTGTGCTCAAAGAATGCCCCCAAATTGATCAGACTTATTGTATAGTAAGTTATCGAAAATAAGCATGTAATAAATGTAGTAAATTAGATTGAATTAAAACGCTAGTCAAAGAGACATACAATAATGCAGTAATTTTTATGATAATTAGTTGTGTAGAAGCTGAGATATAATTTATAATAAGTATAAAGTCGCGGACTAAAATTAAAACTTCTATAATGAATATTTATATTAAATCGTATTAGTTGAAATTAACTCCAAAAATGTCATTTTAGTTATTTATAATTCTTGTGAATAAAATAGTAGTCCATTAGAAGAGAAAAATAATATCGATCAGGGAACCTAAAAATTTCAAAATGTTTTCTGTTTTATTTGCGTCAGTTTTAATGTTGTCTTTATTGTCTCACAAATTCGTAATTTTATTTTAGATAGAATCAAAAGTTTCCAGCTTTTCCTTCTATTTTCCATTTTGCTCATTTTATTGCCTAGAATTTATGAAATTTTATCGGTGTTGGTTTATAACGTTTGTCTCATCTTCTCTCAAAAAGAACATAAATTCAGACAAACAACTCTACCAAAAGGGAACAACAGAATTTTAGCATAAATTACAATTTCATAGTTTGATATTTAAACGTTTCAGTTTTACAATTGGATACTTAGTTTTTGATTATTTTTGGAGAAGAAATGTAATAATAAATTAGAATGTTCTTTATTACTGAAAGAAATAATTTCGTACTTTTTGTTCCTTGAAGTATAAAGAAACATGAACACATTTGTGTTAACAGAATATTTATCTCGAACTTAAGTTACAAAAAATTTTTTACATAGGTAATCATAATAATTACAAGTTAAAATTTGAAGGTATCTATGATAGAGAACTTGTTTAATTGGGATGAAATACTAATAATCAACAACTGTTCACCATTGGGTTGCATCAACTTTGGTTTTTATAAAATCGGGAATTCTACGGGATGTTTTTAAACAGGTTACTAAAAGTAATGCTTTGTTTGGAGAATTTTTAATTTATTACCAATAATTTTAAAAAGGAAGCCATGGTCCATCTATTGAAAGCTCTGACCCTTGTGCTGGCCCACCTAGAATATTTACTTAGGTGTATCACATAAGCCAACAAGCTTTGAGCTTTCTAATGTAATATAACTTAATAAGGTCCTGCAATTTTAGGCTAATTACCTTAAACACGTTTGGAAAAAATCGTTCTTTTAAGTATTTAAAAGGAATACTCACCCCTAATTACCACAAATAAATAATATATGAGCGGACACGTGTTTCGCCCACTTCACACGTGGGCATTATCAACGCGAGACTGAGTCTCAGTGTTA